AGAGAGAGAGAGAGAGAGAGAGAGAGAGAGAGAGAGAGAGAGAGAGAGAGAGAGAGAGAGGAGAGCTGGAGATGGGGAACCTCACGGACCGGCCTGGGTATAGCGCAAGGTTGCCCACCAGGTATGGAGGGCAAACCAGGTAAAACAGGGTGCAGGCCCAGGCCCCAACGACGCGGTCCAGATTGCAAATTTGCACATGGGCCTGACAGGGGTGAAACGCAAAGAATTTTGCCCCAAAGGGCATTCTGCTCTCCCCAGATCTTTTCGGGGCATTTTGGCATATATGTCAACTTATAGGGGTATTTCGCAAATTAGACCTTTCTTAATTGAGACTTACTGTTTGTGTTGCTGTAACCATCTAATGCTGACGGTATCAGGAATCCGTTATTCATGGTGCTTTTGATAGAAAGATGTACCGCGGCCTTCTGGTTCACAAAATAAACATCCCTTTGAACTCTACGTTTTCACTGAACGTTCGTCCTCTCTCTCTCGCTCTCTCTCTCTCTCTCTCTCTCTCTCTCTCTCTCTCTCTCTCTCTCTCTCTCTCTCTCTCTCTCTCTCTGACCATCCGACTTTCCTAATGGGCCAAGTGCCACAGATCTATTGCTCTCCACAGAGAAGAAAATAAAAAAATCTAAGGAAATGAAACGGTTTTCAACTTTGCAGAAGCAGATGCAGAACCCAGGGTTCGATCCCTATCCTTACATGCACTCGTGTACAGTATCGAGTAGACCCTTGTGTCACGTTGTGTGTTTTCAGCCCGCGACCTGTGTTTTAGTAGTGACTGCTCTTTGTCGTACGTCCCTGTAGCTGTAGGGATTCGATCTGTACATCTGTGAAGTAGGTGTTACAGTTGTGTAGACGTCGAAACTGCTAGGCTAGCGGTCTGTAGGCAAGTCGTAAGTCCAACTGCGTCGAGTCGGCAGTGCAACCCCGTGCAGTCAGCAGTACCGGTCCCAGTCACACTTAGTCCAGTCAAGCAAGTACCGTGTGGGACTGTGTGCACCAAGTGCCTGGTGGAAAGGGGCAATCCAGCGGCCAACAGAAGTATAAATAAAGAGGCAGCGTCCAACAATTCATTCATTCTGCCGCAAGCCATGCGGAAGCGCTGCCAGTGCGTCTTGTGCGAGGTGGTCTGGAGATGCCCGAGTTCGAAGTGGGCTGAAGGAAGATAGTTCGTCCATAGCTAGTAGTAGCTTAAAAGTTGAGTTCAGTGTGTGTGCATTTGTGCACAACGAGAGTGTGTGTGCGCGTGGGATATCCAGAGAGATCCAGTGAGTGTGCATGCGAACAAGTCGTGAGGATACAGTGACGTGGTGGATGAAGTAAATGCGCACAGGCGCCATAGTTATTTGAAGCGAGCTTGTATTTGAACTGTGTTCTCGCCTGCGGCCTGTGATATCTCTTAGCTTTGTGTGGGTTCCTGGTGCCAGAGTACTTTGCCATCTGTTTACATGCATACGAAGTAGGAAGAAAGTGAGTCTGATTGCATTGGTATCAGAGCAAGTTCCCGCTGTTCCACGCGCGAAGGTTGCCACGAAGAAGAAGCGCCAGCAGGGCGCCAAGTCAGCACGGCAGTATCGAAGGAGGAATATCATAGCTGCGTCGATGTACCTGCACAAGAGAATAACGACGAAGAGAGAGAGAGAGAGAGAGAGAGAGAGAGAGAGAGAGAGAGAGAGAGAGAGAGAGAGAGAGAGAGAGAGAGAGAGAGA